GTAACCACCTGGGGCTCAGGCTGCACTTGGTGGGTGGCCTCAAGCACAGTGTGTGGGAGCCGGCTGCCTGGCGGGGGGGGGGGGAGGGGTCCCCTCCCCAGATGCCTGGTCACACTCCGCACCTGCCTGGGCAGGGGCACAGCCAGGCACCGCGCAGATCTTTAATCCTCACTCCCTGTCTCTGAGCTGGGTGTTTACATCCATTTATAGCCAAGGAAACTGAGACTCAGAGGCCAGTGACTGAGGTTCAGAGTTCTCGGGGCCTGTAGAGGATGAAGCTGAAAATCCAACCCAGGCAGGGTTGGCTGGAGATGAGCTGTTTGTCCCGGGCTGGGCTGTGAGCTGCTCTGGGGTGGGTGACAGTGGGCTGCCCTGTGCCTGGCAGGGTCTGTTCTTTAAGTGGGACACTAAGAAGACAGCAGGTCCCCCGGCATAAGTACAGCTTCCAGCTCTTCTAGTGGAGTCTCCAGATCTTTCCATGAGGCTTCTCTCTGCCCCAGTGCTTGGGGCCAGGTGGAAGGGCTCAGGGGGTCTGGCACTGGTGCACACCAGCGGCTGCCCTTGGGTCACAGCTAGATTCCTTAAGCACACACACACTCATTTGCCTCATCTGTGCAGTGGGGACAGCCATCCCGGTCCATCCCCACTGGGCCCTGGGGTGGGGATGGCAGTTCCTGCAGAATTGGTAGGAAAGGGGAGCCCCCGCCTCCCCCAACCGGCGTGCGGTGTCCGCAGGACTTCAGCCTGCTGTACGAGGAGGCGCGGTACTACCAGCTGCAGCCCATGGTGCGCGAGCTGGAGCGCTGGCAGCAGGAGCAGGAGCAGCGGCGCCGCAGCCGGGCCTGCGACTGCCTGGTGGTGCGCGTGACGCCTGACCTGGGGGAGCGGATCGCGCTCAGCGGCGAGAAAGCCCTCATCGAGGAGGTCTTCCCCGAGACCGGGGACGTCATGTGCAACTCGGTCAATGCCGGCTGGAACCAGGACCCCACGCACGTCATCCGCTTCCCGCTCAACGGCTACTGCCGGCTCAACTCGGTGCAGGTGAGGTCTGGGGCCGCTCGGGCCCGCCTCCCCGGAGCCCCCGGGCCCAGCGTGGGCTGGAGGGAGGCACTGTCCCCAAGATGGCAAAGCCCTCCCTGCCATCTTACAAAAAAGGCAACAATGTGTCGATGCATAATTTATGTCCCGCTCATAATTAAATGATGGCGCCTGGGGGATGGACTTAAAAAAATTGATCTGCACTTTTTTTCTTTCCAAAAGGATGTTCTGTTAAAAATGGCCCAGAGTATTTTCAACAAAGTGCGCTTCATTTGACATCCAGAGTCTGACTTTGGATTCATATTAAACCCAGGCAACAAGCGGGGCGGGACAGAGGCTGAGAGTAGCGGTGGCTTAGGGCCCCTCTCCTCTCCCTGACCTGGGAGGCGGGCACCCAGGAGCGGCCCACAGAGCTTCGGGCCTGGCTTTTCCTGGATGGGTCTAAGAATTGGGAAGCCCGCATGGAGTGGGGCCCATTTTCTAACAGCTCTTCCTGAACCCAAGAACACACATATTTGGGGGTTAGGGCAGAACAGACTTTGTGGAGAAAAGCACACACCCCATAGGCTGTCAGTCAGAACTTGCTAGTTGTAGGACACAGGGACCACCCTCACAGAGGCACAAGCCCACATGGCTGTGGAGGCCTGCAGAGACTCAGGCGTTGAGAGGACTTCTCTGTCTTTCCATGCAGAGCTCCCTCGAGCTCATGTGCCCCCCAGGCCGCAAACCATCTGGGACTCACAGCTATTGGGGCAGGACTCAGAAAGGGGGTGCCTGGGACCCTGTGTCTGGAGAGAAGGGGCAGGTTACACCCAAGAGAAGAGGCGCAAAGGCTTTTTGCTTCCAGGAATCAAAGCTGTGCACCCCTGAGGGCAGCAGGGTGGTAGCCTAGGTGGGGTGGCCCACCCGGGTGCGGTAACTTGAGGGGCCCCTGGGCCTGGCTGCTCCTGCGCCTCCTGTGCTGGAACCTACCAGGTGGTTCTCCAGGGACCTTAGTCAGAGAGTGAGACTGAGCTTTTAGCAAAAGGTGGCTGGCTCTGCTGGCTGCCATGGCTGGCACCCACCTGCCCACCAGGCCGAGCCAGGTAAACGCTTGCAGCTGGGCACTGCTGACCCCCATTTCTTCCCTGACAGGTCCTGGAGAGGCTGTTCCAGAGGGGTTTCAGCGTGGCCGCGTCCTGTGGGGGCGGCGTGGACTCCTCCCAGTTCAGCGAGTATGTGCTTTGCCGGGAGGAGCGGCGACCACAGCCCACTCCCACTGCTGTCCGGATAAAGCAGGAGCCCTTGGACTAGGCCCTGCCTTGCTACCCGCCTGGGACACCCCAGGGACCTGGAAACAGTGCTGGGGCGTCTTCTTGCGTGTGCCCAGCAGTGGGCATAAGACCGAGGGCAGGGCTGGAAGGTGCAAAGCCGGCCCAGGGAGCACCAGGGCCCCAGCGTCATGGCGACAGAACGTGGGATGCTGGAGGCATGCCCACCGAAGGACTGTTGATGTGACCCAAAGATGCCGTCGTGGGAACTCCGCTGCCAGCTCTCCCAGCCCCTTGCCCCCCAGCCTGGTGCAGCGTCCTCTGAGGCTGCGGGGCCCGTTGAGGTAGGGTCAGCAGAGGCATCCGCAGCTACCCCAGAGGAGCCTTTGTCCTTCTCCACGAGTGGCAGACTCTGGTGGGTCTCCTTGAGTCAGAGATGGCTTATTTTTCTACAGTATTTAAAATGGAAGCAAGTGTAATTGCTCACGTCGGGGAGGCCGACAAGGACCAACACTTCTTTATCTGGTGCTCAGTTCTCAGTGGGACGCGCGCAGCGCACCCACACGCCAATGAGCTGCGCGGCGCTTGGGCCCAGGAGCCTGCAGCGCTGGGGCGCTCGGGACAGATGCAGGGATGGCTGCAGAGCCAAGCAGGGCCCCCAGGGGCAGGGCTGCTGGGAGGAGGGAGTGGGGGCTGGGTGGCTCTGTAACCACCTGGGGCTCGGGCTGCACTTGGTGGGTCACCTGACCTGCTCATGCCCAGGGGCTTCCAGTCCTGTCTGCATGTCCTCCCACCTGGGCTCCTGGAGAAGTCTCCGCCCACTCGGACCAGCCACAGGGCCGCACCTTACCTCAGGAAGGGGCCCATCTGTCAGCATCTCCTCTGGGTCCCCAGCTCAGGGAGCCATCCCCAGCTCCAACTTTCTTACGCTAACATGCACACCGAGTTTCAATTATACTTGTCATGCCAGCCTGCCCATAAGACCCGGACACAGGCACACCTGGCCCTCCTGACCCCGAATTCCAATGAGGACTGGCCCTGAGGGGTCCTCGCAGACCTGCTGCCTCCCAGATGACAAGCCCAAAGATGGACCCTCCCCGGCCCTGTCTTGTCCCCAAGTGCTGGCCCTTCCTGGGTGGGGAGCCTGCGGAGAACTGGTGGGTGGGGCTCCCTGGCCTTCTCCACCCTGTGTACAATGCCTGTAGACTTGTATATGACTCCTTTAATATTGTAAAGATGCTGATGTATAATTGTCGTGTGTTTGTGTGAACACATTCCGTTCCTACTTCATGCCATAAATGATGCTATAAAGCGAAAGACTGAGGCTCCATCCTGTGCAGAAGCAGCAGCTGGATTCCTGCACTTGAAGTTGTGCAGGGAGGTTTGGGGGTGGAATTCCTCCCTCGATTCCTTCAGTTCAGATGAGTAACCGGCAGTGGTAGCTGGGGGAGGGGCAGGGGCTGGTCCTGAGCTCGGTGTTATTTATTGCATTTGGGTGTTTCCTTGCTGCTGCTCTCTGTCCCCTCTGGGCAGCACAGATTCTGAATTCTGATTCACAGCCCCTCACCAGATGCAAACCCCAGACAGATGTCCAGGGACTTTTGAACTCAGTCTTAAATGTTTGGGATTTTTTTTCTGTCTTTTGGTTGGGGGTGACATCCTATTTAGAGCCCCACATAGCAGCATGGAGAAGGTGGCGGGCCATGGCTCAGGCCAGCCAGGGGCACAGAGACGGGCAGCCAGCATGAGAACTACAGGTCACCTAGGCTCAGAACATGATCTCAGTATGTCCAAGGGAAGGAGTTTGAATGAATTCACGTAGACCTCCCATTTTAATGAGGCTTTTTCTATTTTTCCTCAAAGCCTTTATGTGCTAACCCATGAGGACCCTTTTACCTGCCCCCTGAAGGCCACCAGCCTCGACCTGCCTCAGAGGACAGGAGCACACCCAGCCACCTCCTGCCTGGGGCTGCAGAGGAGATGCCCTCCCTCCATACAATCTAATTTGCTGGACAAACGTGCTGGGCTTCTCTGCTTAGCAACAGGCCTATAGTTGGCACATCTGCATTTTGACATCTGAGAGGAGGAGAAAGCCCTGTGTTTATTAGAAAGGAAGTCTTTTGTGAAAATAGCTCAATGCTGTGTGTATTTATGGATTTTTCTGGTGTGATAGCATGGTTATTTACTGATTGGGGCAAACTATATTTTAATTAAATCATCATGCTAAAAAAGAAGGAGAAAAAGAGTAACCCTATCTGATTAAAATGTTACTCTGTTTCTGTACTAATTAAGTAAAATCAGGAAGTATGATTTTACATCAACTTGGGAATATCTGAATTTGTAGGGAAAGACTATGCTCCCATAGTACTGCTGTAATTCTAACAGACCTAGTCTCCATAAATAAGTACAAATTATCAATTCCTTTGAAACATTTTTACACTTCCTGGAATGAATATATTTATAAGTAATCTTTTGTTAAATCCAGCAATATAAATGTTATTTCTGCTCTTCATAATCCTCAAAACTATTGTTGATTGCGAGCAACAGGTCAGAGGTGTGCCAAAGCTTCCCTCTTTGCTACCAAACCCCTGCCAGTGACTGCAGAGAACTGGCAAAGCCACAGCAGGTGGCCACCATCCCGCTCATGGGGCTCCAAGCCAGGTCACAACACTAATAATCTTGCAAAAAGTGTGTTGAGTTTTCTTTTTTTTTTAAGCTACTACTTGACTGTGTTCCTTAGGATAAATAAAGGATATTTTATAAATTACACACAGCTCTAGCGCCTTGTTTCTAACCCACAGAGTCAGCCACGAGAAGGTACTCTGGTAGGGGTGATTCTCCAGCCACTGTTCTTCACACTTGGGACCTGGCTTAGCCACTTAGGCCCTTGAATATCCCAAGTCCCAAAGCTTCCTGATCTGAGGGCCCCAAGCAACTTCAGGGTTCCCAGGCACCGGGTGCACCCCTGCCAGCAGACCCAGGAGCGAGTGCGGTGCAGGCAGGGGCTTCCTTCACCTCCCCCAGACTCCCACCCTGGACTCCAGCGTTCAGACTTTTTGCGCTTTGTTGGTTTTGTGCATGTGGGTATGTGAACCGCACCACTAAGATGTTTGGAAAGGTCCAGGGAACGCACACGTGAGAAATGGGGAAACAGTCTCCACTGAGCCCCTGACCAAGAGAAGACTAAATTGGCCGAGCCCAGCAGAGCCTACCCTGTTCACTGGCCGGGAGGTCCACCCTTAAAGGGGGGTGGGCAAATGCGTTTAGCTGAGAAGCTCAAGGCAGCCACGCATGGTCTTGTCTGTTGTGTGACGAGGCCCTCTTTCCGTTCACCCCAACCCACCCAAAGGAGTTGACTCCTGGTACAGAGAGGGCTTGCCCCCTGTTGGGGATTAGCGCCCTGGCAGCTGTTTATCTCCGGTGGGGGCTTCAATCTGGAGTTGCCTCCACTGAAGACTCTGAGTAACTGCACAGGGTAAAAGCCCACACCTTATTATTGCCACAAGTTTTTAAATTATCTACAAATGGATTTCCTTAGAATGAATTGTAAAAAGAGAGGGATGATTTCAACGCATATTTGTCAAAAGCAGCCCCTGCCTTTATTAGTGAGAGATTTCTCATTAGATCGAATGAGGTTTGTTGTCAGTATCCATGGAAACCTGCAAACGAGTTGCAAAGACGAAGCTCTAATGTCCAACATAAAGCCCAAGACAATGCCCCTGCTTTATTTCGTAACCCCACCCCATTCCGAGGAAGGCAACCGAGGGGGCCTGCCAGGAGGAAAGTCTATCCAGTCACGACTGTATTTAGATAAATCCACCAACTGCGGTACAGAGGCAGAGAAACATCCCCCCAGAATCCCTTTCCATTAGGAGCTCAGCCCCAGCAAGACATCCTTCCTGGGCAGCCTGACATTCTCTAGAGGGTCTATGAGGTAGGGTAACCCTTCCTGGACCAAGAGAAAGAAAAAGGTATTGGTGGCAGCTAAGGGCAGCTTCCTGCCAGGAGCAAGGCCAGCACTGATGTTCTCTTAGAAGCACTAGAAACACACCCCGGGCAAGGGTGGAGCATCAGAAAAGAAGGGCTTGACCCGCTCACTCTCCAGGACCTCGCAGGCAGTGCCTCAGTCCTCACCCCCATGTCCTCTATAAGTCCAGGGGCATCTCTCCATGAGCTTTCGGTGGGAGGGAGACCCCAGCCCCGGGAAGCCCGCCCTCCCCCACATCCCAGGTTAATCCCTGGATCCAGTTTGGCATCTTTTCCTAGGAGCCCAAAAACTAGACAAACAGGGTACCTGCCTGACCCATGGAGAGCACTCCAAACCTCAGAGGCATTGGCAGAGTGGGGGCTCACTCTTCGGGATGGGGCCACTCCTGTGTTTCTGTTCCCACCACCCCACCCCTAGTGGAAAGATGTGTTGGATAGAATTTGTGCCATTTAAGGGTAAGTCATACAACTGTGATGTGGAAAATGGGCTGATGTGCCTGCTGGGGCTTTGGACATTGGTTATCAAAGGGTCCCTGCTTCGCTGCAAAGATCCTTATCTTCCCAACCACCCAAAGAGTGCCATTCGTTGGTGGCTAGCCTGTGCCAGCCACTGCGGGTGCATGGAGGACAAGATCAGCCCATGAGGCTCAGAGAAGACACTTGTTTATCCACCAGAATTGTTTACATTCGGTTGTTTACTTGAGGCTCTGTAAAGTTATCCAGAAGAGAAACCATATTATAGTTTTCAAGTTTGTCATAACACCAAACATGGATCACTGCAAACTCACTAATTTGCCGGTAGAGCCAACAACCTCGCAAGCTTCAGCGCTAGCGTCTCCATGGCAAAGGAGGCTTCTCTGAAATTCTAATGCCAGACCCAGAGAAAGAGGCAGGCCCACTACCGGGAAAGACAAAGCAGGGATTGAAGGTCAGCTACGTTTGGGTTTTTGTCTTTACTTCCGTAATACAGACAGCCATCCCTTGGCCCCCAGGCCAGGCCGGACCATGCTCTTCCTTGACCCAGAGCCATGGCCCAAGAATGACAGCTAGATCATCAGGGCCT